CTGGCGAGTGCACTGCCGCTCTTTTACTGTGTTTTGTGCCTAAAATTGTTGTCACTCTCAAGTGTTATTCTGCCACAACGTGTAACTCGCTGGCAGCTGTGTTAGTACGTAGTTGTTGCTCAGAGGAAGCGTCGCTGCAGTCCAGGAGAAGCAAGTAAGTGAGCCCAGACCAGTTTGTTTACTTCTTTTCAGCTGGAGAACCTCTAAGCCTGTGTTTGTTGTGTCTTGAGAACCTTTCGCGGCCGAGGTTCTGCCCGGGCCCCGCTGGCTGCTGCAGGGGGGAACCGCTAGCGCTAGTCTCGGTGCGGAAGCTCCCTGACAGGCAAGGCGGCGGAACTTGGCAGTGCCTCAGAAAGATCGCAAACTCGTGAGTGTTTGCAGTGTTTCGTGAACCACAAATTATTGACAAAAATTATCAAGTGTTTCATGTGGTATTGGACGTGCGCTCGGTTTTCCGGAGGCGAAAGTATGTGTTTTTCCAGCATACTGGCCTTGGGGGGAAGTGTTTTAGAGGTATCAGTTACCGAGAATGAATTTATCTCGTTATAAATCAAAATGGAAGGGCACGGAAGGATTTCTAGGTTTTGATATGTTTGTTGCTTCACATTAACCACCAAGGAACAAGTGCATGAGTTCCAGACAGTGACTAACAGATTTCTCTAACAAGTCAAAGATTTTACACTGCAAAGTTTCCTTCTGAAATGCATGTAGAAGGTAGCACTTCCCTACTATTGTTCTAATCTGCTTAGTAGTTCTAATACATTCTGCTCTATCTGATACTATGACAACTTCTTATCAGTGACATTGCCAGAAACTTTCCTGAAGGGATTTTTTATTCAGTTACATAATGGAAATATAATATGGATGTTGCATAGTCATTGGGTATTTTAGGATTTTTGTGATAAGTGATGATTATCCAGAATAGAAGCATTTCATGTGTGTTGTTTGTTTTGTATATAAATGTTCTTTATAGATATCCACTACTGATACAACAGTTTTTATTTGTTACTTGTGCTTCCCTGGATAGTTTTCAAATGATTGGTATCTTATTGTCATAGAATTGCCTGAAGCTTATTAAACTGGCATTCATAATGTCATAGGGAAAGGGATTTGAATATTGAATCCACATTATTTGAATCTATCCAGCCATATCATAATCTTTGACTGGGTCTTAATGTAATGTTGAATTGCCAGAGTAGTTTACAAGGTATGCTTTGCTAGAATATTTACATGGTAGGAGTTTGTGATGGACTATATAGCCCATGGATTATTGGACTTAGCAACATAATCATTCAGTAAGCTAGGGCAAATTGAAAATTATATTCTTGTAGAGGACAAAAAATTTTAGTAGTTGGTACAAGAAATAAACTGCAGTTACAAACAATAGTGCCACAAGTAAAGGAAAAACAATCATGCCAGTCATAGCCTAAGTCCATTCAGTGCTCCTGAGTTTCAGCTGTACCTTGTCATTCAAACCGAGGTGAAGACAGCATTTCCTTTTGGGGGTGTTGGGGAGCAGAGCTTCCCAGCAAGCCTCCCCTCAGTACCTGAAGGGTTCGCCCTGTCATGGCATTTTCGATTGTTCAATAAATTTGTGATATGGAGTTAAGGACTTAATACTGTAAATAATTATCAAGCATTGAATTCCAGAATTTTGAACTGTTATTTTTTTTATGCCTGAGAGCTTTGTATTACATGTTCTTCATTCCTGTTATAGTAATAAGTTTGGTTAATGTTATCAAGAGCGATGCACAGAGATAGAGGAAAATGGACACTGCCATCTTATAGAGCTGGAAAATTAGAGTAGGAAACAATATAGGTTTATTAGCCTCATATTTATTGGGAAATGACAAAAATGTCTGCTGCATGTCACTGCTCAGAGACGAAGGATACATTTTCTCTACATCTGTTTTCTATAATGATTATGTTTTCTGTTGATTCTAAGAGGGGCTTTTTCTGTTGATGAACCTGGAAATCATTTCTGCATAATTAAGTATTTTCATAATAATATTTTTGTACACCTCGTTACCATTCCTCTTGTTCTTTGATGCTACTAGATTTCTTTGGTTGCTTTCTCAAATGTATATGCATTTTTATTTTGTTTTTCCTTATTCTTTGTATTATCCACTCGTAACTATTTAATTGCCTCCCATATTGGAACAATACATACTGTCAATCACTTCCTCAGTTTCCTTTAAGCTTTTGCCAGGGCAGGACTTTCAAACTTCTGTGGTTAATGACATGGGGTACATTTGATTTTATATTCAAATATTATATTATCAGTATTGTTTCGCTTCTATCATCATAGATCATTGGTGTTATTTATAAATGTTTTTTATGGTAGGTACGGGCAATTTTTGCAACATTACGGGGGCCAGGCCAACCTCTTGCTCGATGTGTGCCGGTCGCATTGAGTGTTTCTTACGAATCTGCACAGAGCATCTTTCGTTTTCCAAACAAGACTATTTGTGATTGTGCAGCTCATCTGTACCCTCCCCACTGACGGTATGTGTCACAATTTCTTTTCAGTAACAAATTTGTCACTTGGCACAAAAAGCTAATAGAGGGGGGTTATAGGGGGCTTATCCCCCCATTCTAGGGAATAAGTAGAAGGTAGGTAAGGTTAGGTTGGATTTCTTTGTTCGCATAATACACAGCTAAACAGTTTCTTATAATTGCATTGTTCGAAACTTGTTGTATTTCACTTGTTCTCTCAGGAGCTACTTTATTCTGTGTTCATCAGACAAAGTTGGCTCGGTTTTATGAAAAATTGACTTCTCTATTGTTTTTGGGACATGAAGTTTGGCTCATGTTTTCGAAAAATTGACTATTCTATTGGTTTTGGGATACAATTTTGGCTTGGGTTTTCAAAGAAATTGACTTTTTAACATTTCATAAATCACTTTCTTCAATTTCTGCAGGTTCCTTATTTGGCTTGGGTTTTTGAAAAAATTGACTTTTTAACATTTCATAAATCACTTTCTTCAATTTCTGCAGGTTCCTATTGTCATTCAGTGCCATCCCTTAGCCACCCCACCCCCCATCCCTTCAAACCCTGGTTACCCTCAAAGCCAATGGGTAGAGGAAATATATAAAAAATCTGATTTTGGAACTTAGCCTCTGGAGGGAGCATTGCTCTCGGTAACAATTGCCCCAAGTTCTTGTCTGTCATTGTGAAGTCCTAACATTTATCCCATTCTTAGGTAGCAGTCAGGGGAAAGTTTGTGATTATATAGAGTTTTGTAATGTTTAACTACCAACCAAAGTATGTGACAAGCCAGATTCTTCAGTATTCACAATATCTTTTTAGGAATGTTTCAAGGTCATATCCATTGGGGTTTAAGACATTGTCAATTCAGTTAAATGTTCAAATGATACCCAATCATTCCTCCTGCCCTCTCACTGATTAGCTTGTCTTCCACTAGCCAGCAAGTCTTCTAACAAGAAACCAGTCCAAGCTCTGTCTTACAAGAATGTAAAACTAGGAACAAGCAGAGAGTCAGCAGCATAGACCTTTGCAGGTGTTCTCTGCACTGGTAACACTATTACATGAGATTTCCAAGAACTACTGCTGTGCTGTAGCTGGGAGGCAGCATATGATAATTATGCTAGATGACAGTTTATTAACACTTAATTGGCAGTGTGAAACCCATCTCAAGAATCTGGCCAATGTCAATGAGTACAAGCACAGTAACTATGCTACAGAGAGGAAAATGTAAAATCTATATAATACCTGTTGTCAGGTCCTGTGACTTCTTGATACTCACCTTCAAGGTGTTGATAGTGTGAAATACCATTGTCATTAATAACTATTGTGTATTACAAATATGTCTTTTTGTGTATGTGTGTGTGTGTAGTTGGCATGATGATATGATACATATATTTTCATATTATTCCAACTGATATATTGGTGCAGAATATTGGTGTGCATAAAATTATCTTTACTACTATCATCATCACCACCACCACTGTGGTCATTATCAGCATTATCTTCTGTATTAGTAGGAGTATTGTCATTACAACTATATATATGGAATATGGGAATATTACAGCAATGACAGCAATAATGATAATAATAATGATGATGAAGATCATCATCATCATATAAAAAGATAAACATAGTTGTAGTAATACTACTACAAATGATAATCAGAACAATAATATTAATAGTAATAATATCCAACAACAGTAATTATGGTAACAACAGCAGTGATGTTTATATACAGTAATTATATGACAAAAAAGATAACTAAATATTATGTGATAATTTTGATTCTGTAATCTGACTGTTTACTCACATGTAAACAGTGGGTTACCTTATAGAATGGGGGAAACACCAGTTATTGCACTTTGGTATTTTCTTTCAAATAAACCTTTGACAGTTCACACTTTACACCTTATGTATTGTGTAATGTATGATGTGTTAGATACTTGTTTGTAATATGTCCAGAAATATTGATTACCATTTTGCATGGTAATTTTTTATTTCATTTTTTAAGTTACAACAATTAGTAAACGAGAATCCTTTTTTGAAAATGCAAAACTCGCTTGTTGCATCTAGAAAGTATTCTCAACATGGTAGTATATGTACTGTGGGCACCATGAGTGGTTGTGTTTAGTGGTTGTAAGAATGAATAGTTATTCCATAGATTATACATTTTCCACTTTGGCACACTTAATGTGTAGTTCAGATTCTCGTGCTAATTTTCACTATAGCCACATATTGATCATCTATTATTATCATTAATTGCTAACTCCCAGCTTTAGCTCAGCAGTAGTGGCTCTAGGTTAACTTGCAATATAATGCTAATAGGTGTGGAGGATATCTCAAGGGGTCTGTGCTACCAGTGCTGTTGACGTTTCATTTGTTGCCAACTGTGCAGCAGAGTGGAGGTTTACTGGTCTTCACTGGAGTGCAAAACATGAGGAGCTCAAAACATTGAAAGGTGTGGTGATTACATGATGAGACATGCGTTAGACTACAGAAGATAAGCCTTCTGTCATAGGTCACAGTAAGCTTCAAGTGGATTTTGATTGAACACAACCTTTGCATTTACAAGTATGGCAATACATTAATGTGAAAGCTTGAATTTGCACTAATTTATAGCAATGAGAAAGAAAATCCCATAACTTAACATTACATAAGAAATATTAGGTTTCAGTGGGATGTGCATCAGTTCTAAACCTTGTTAATCCTATCATAAATGCACTACAGGAAGAAATCACATTTAAAAAAAATCTTTTTCTTATGAAATCAGATGTTGGATGCAGTTTTATACATAGCTGCTTCTCCCATGGCTTCAGTACTTCCTTTTTGTGTGCCATGTTTTAAAACAGTCACACTGGCATAGGGCCATATGACAATTTCAATGGTTAACACAAGGAGACAGATCATGTAAACTAGACTGAAGGTTACTTACAGGTTCACAGCAGCAGCAAGAGAGAGTATTGTTTTGGTGTGTGTCTTCCAGGCCTAGTAGGTGAATGATTTATGTGCCAAATATCCCCCTTTATACAAAACAGTAGCCAATCTGATCATTACATGTCTGTTCTCCCTCAGACATTTTCCTACTATGACATTGATGTAAATGGAAAATAAAAAGTTTAAAATACTTAAACCTATACATAGATGTGTTAAAGTGACTGCATGGACTGTTGTACACCTCCAGTTCTCTGGCAGAAATTAACAAACTTCCACTACATATTAAAAGGGCTTGGACTGGTGTTTTGTTTGATGGTAGATTTCCTTGGGAAATTTCTAAACCTTTCATACAATGTTCCTTATTATGGTTATGAAAAGTATTTTCCAATTTTATTTTATTGTGACAGACATGTTATAGAAGAAAAATGCCCTAAAATTTCATGTATAGACTGTTAACCATCTATACAGTTCCTGCAAAAAGTATATGGAATATTTTGAAGGGACATCCACAGTTCTGTGTTATTCAAATTATCACATCTTCAAACAGCAGCCTGCCTAGATCTTGCTTTGGTAGTGCTTAGCCAAACTGAACAAAATATAGCAATAATCCCAAGTTTCCCTCCAATAGAGGATGAATATAATGAGGTTTTGGAAGTACTAGTTCCCCTTTTTCCATGTCTCTTCTTTTCATCACACTGCCATCCAACCACACCTTAGAATGAGTCCCAAGAACCTTGGCTTTTCCCCCTGAAGGAGGCAAAAATGTCTTAGAAGGAAATTTGTCAACATACAGGAAGAGGCAAAACATGAGCTGATATAAATGCAGTTTTTTTCCCCTTTTCCATAATTTAACCCTTAATCTTAGAAGACACACATATTAGCTTTTAAAATGGTACATTTTTCTCATAAATGTATTGCCTTTATTTTATCCTAATTCACTTGAAACTTGCTGTGATTGTGATGCATAGCATACTGAAGTTCAAAACAGTAGTTTTGTAATATCAAGTGATCACCTCAGCTGTTTTTCTCAGTCCAGAGAAAGCCAAGCCAACAAACTGCCCCAACATACAGTCTGGTAAGATAAATCTTGGACTGGCTCCTTATTTGAAGATGAATTACCGAGGTCTATAATTTTTGTCTTAGTCTACTTGAATATGTGTGATAGAGGTTGTTGGCTTTTGTAACTGACCTCAGTTTGATTGATGTGCAAGTGTTTCTTCTCAAAACTGAGATGAAAAGGGAACAAACTTTCATGTTAAATGTTGCTGTGTTTTGAAGCCAGTCCTGAAAGGGATAACAAATCAGATTGTAAACATATCAGGAGATTGGGCACTTCGTGGTGGCTCAGGGACCAGAGCCAGATATAAGTAGTTGAATTAAGCTTAACCCTTTGGTGTTGGGTACATACACAGTCTGTTGTTTTATTATTTTATTTACTTTGACATACATGTCAAGTGTTTGATCACCAATGAGTCAGATACAAGACCTGCCTGTTCTACTTAACCTATTCCTTGAAATCCTAGAATTTTTTCCTGTTACAGTTTTTAACATTGTTAACCTAATAGGCCTGGATGGCAAGAATACATGCCATGTCCTCTGTAATATTAGTTCATTAATTTTCTTTACAAATAGATGGCTCTGCAAGTGCTAAATCCCCAGTTTACCAGTTTCCCTGATTTTTAAAAGCCTTTTTTATTAATCTGTTGTTTTATTGTTAGTAGTATTTTAATTACATAATGATAATGATGATGTTATTGTCATCAATGATGACAATAACATTATCAATAGTAATAGTATTAGAAAGAAAAGCACATTTTCCTGGAAATTCAAGGAATGGTGAAATCAGGCAGGGTCACTAGGGCCTACCAATTGACTCGATGGTGGCTAAGCACATGTGAAGTCATCTGTATTAAAAAAAAATAAATAAATAAATAAAAAATGAAATAAACCTGCAGTGAACAAAAATTGAAAGGATGGTGTGAACTGGCACCAGCATCTTAAGGAAATTGCTGTGTCTTTATCAATCTTGTCTATCGTAAGTACATATATTGCAAGAAGAGTTATCATACACCTGCAGA